ATCCTCAGCAGGAAAACAGCTCTCAGAGATGCTGCAAGGGACACAAATGTCATGGGGGGCTACTCAGGCCAACTTGAAGGGGGTGGAGACTTTCTGCTGGCACCACCCAGACAGATCCCCTTTCAGGCCCAAGGACCAGCTGGGCCAGTACAGAGACAGTCTCGTCCCTTCTTGTAGCCAACACACCACAACTGGCCCATCCCCGTCTCAGAGAGTGACAGGCAGACCAAAATGGGGGCACAGGCTTGAGCGTCCAATCACAGACTGCTCCGCACTCGTGCACACATACATGAGCTGGCCCTTCCCTACTGGCCCACCACACCCTATCCCCAGTGACAGATATTCAGGCTGGGGAAGATGGCAGAGTAGCAGGTGAGGCCAAGGCCCTGTCTGGCTGTCAGACTCCAGAGAAGCACAGGATAGGAACATTCCTCACTGCCACTGCTGGGTTTACCCGAAGCACACCCCTCATTAGCTGGCCCCAGCATAACAGGGCTAGAGAGGTGGGGAAGAATCCCACGTGCTCCCTACAAACCATTACTGGACTGTAGGCAGGAAAGCAAAAGACAGTATCCCTCTTCCTGCCTCACTTTCAAGTTAGATGACTTCTCAGAAGATGCCTGCAATTTGCTTTTTGTTTTTAAAATTTTTACCCCGAATAAACACCAAACAAAACATGCATTTCCATAGACATGGGAGAACAGAAGTGTACGCTAAACTTTAGATCTCTTATTATGTACAACTTACTCTTCTTTTAAAGTATATAATACATTCCACATGTAACTTTCAAGGCTGTTCTGCAGTCTGCAGTTATCACACCCCTGCTGGAAAAGGTATGACCAACCCAGTTCTATCGTTGATGGCGGCTTTATAGTCATTATGCTTGTCCCAAAGGGGTAAGGGTCCAATACCATCCTCCCTGCCCTCCATCATGGGGCTTAGCTTTAAACCCCTCCTATAGTTAAACAGCTGAACAAGACATCTTCCCTTGTGCTATAGGATCAAATTAGGAGGTCCCTTACCCCAAATTTGCCCCTGTCAAGAAGCAACCATATAAATATCTATAAAGGCCAGAAACTTAATATACCCGATTCCATACTCAGTGGACAACCCCAAAAGACTCCACATCCCACCATCAAACTAATCCATGACAAGCCTCTGATGCCACAAGGAGACTGAAGAGAAAAAAGGGGAAGGGGCCCAACTCTTGATTACAGGATCAGAAAATATCAGAGTTGAATGAAATCAAGGGTTCAGACCAAAAAAGAATACTAGTAAGAATATTTTAACTCCCTGGTCTTAACTTCTAATCTAATACATAAGAAAACAGAGGCCCAGCAAGAGGACAAGACTTTCCCAAGGTCACACAAGTAATAACTAAGAGAGCTAGGATATGAATCTAGGTTCTTATGAGTCCAAATCCAGGGTTCTTCATTATCACAACCAGGCAGACTCATCCACCCACATCCATGGATTCAGAGAACCCATGGTGGTCTAATTCCTCTTGGCCAAGCAACCAGGTCCAATGTGCCCAGAAGAGAGTCTAAAACCTGAGATTTAGGGCCAGGAAGGACATTGGAGGTTATCTTGAATCCCCAGAAACTAATGATATCTGGTAAAAAAATTTTTTCCAGACCTGTGATTTTAATCGATATAAGGAATTCCCAAAAGGAAACTCTCTCTACCAATAAAGTTCAGCACCAGCTTCCCAACTCAGCATCTTATAGTTGCCCAGGGCACTGAAAGGTTTAAGTAACCCAGCTAGTAAGTGTTCAGAGGTGAGACTCCCATGACAGCCTGACTCTGAGGCTGGCTTTCTAGCTACCTCACCACACTGACTACTCTAGGCTCCTAATAGGACTTCTACACCTTCTCTGTCTTCCCAGATAGTTGCACTGCAAACAGAAGAAAAGAAGGAAGGAAAACAAAAAAAGATAAGGAAATCTGCGTGACACAGCAACCAACCTCAGACCCCCTCCCTCCAGAATGGCTACCCAAGCCCCAACTCTACCTGCATGCCCACCATGGCCCAGGCACAGAAATCCAATACCTGTTTAGCCCCAGTCAAACAGTGAAGAGGTGAAATCCAGCCCCAGCTGCTCTAGTACCTTTATAAAATATACAGCGTAAGCCGAGAGGCTGCAGGATAACCACAGCCTTTACTCCAGGGCTCTGCGGGGGAAGAGCACAACATGGCACTCATTCCAACCTTCACTCAAGGGACTCTGTCCCACCCTGCCTTCTCCCTTCCTTCATTCACTAAACATTCTCATAGCACTATCACCCTAGAATGTACCCTCCTGTTATACTAATGTGCTATAACCCTCCTGCCCCGCAACATCCCAACTACTCCATACTTCATTGGTACTACCCAATGAACGTCCCTTCCTCCATAAGTTCCCACTCAGGATATCCTCACTCTTGGCATCTGTGCCAATCATAATGGACTGGTTCTCTAAATTCTTCTGCTCCACAGATTCTTGGCACACTCACACCCCCCAGGGCATAGTCCCCATATGGGCATGACAGTCCCAAGAGAAAACAACATGGTACCCTAGCTCACATTCCTACAGAAACTACTTAGCTAGAGTTCTTTTTCTAAAGGGGAAAAAATAAAGCTTGGTTCAAAACATATTCTGGTTTAAGTCCCCAGGGTTGGGGGACGAAAGTACTGGTTTAGCATGGTTTATAAGAGATAAAGAGGAAAGAGGCAAGGGACCTTGCTCTACCACCTCAGAGCAGCCTGGGGGGTGGGGGGGAGGGAGAAAAGGGATGAAGCCTCACTTAAGGTCAGGTCAGAGAGCAGACAGCTCCCCCAAATCAGGTCTATCGGCCCAGCTGTCCTTCCCTTCCCCAGCTCCTGGACAAGGAGAGGGCACTGTCGAGAGGAGAGAGGGACACTGCATAATCAACCGGAGACACCAGACACCAGGGTCCCATTTCTGAGGGCACGAGGACTTTGCTGTGGGTTGCTAGTGAGTGATGTAACCATTCCCAGGACAGAGAACGTCTGCAGGGGGCCGGAATGAGACAGTGTTCCTATCCCAGCCCACACTGCCCTGATGGAGGGTAGGAGGGCACCCTTGCCACCCACATGTTTCTATGGCAACCATCGCCCTGGAGCCAAGATGCCCAAACGGAAGAGAAACCAATGAACAAGTGAACTGGGGAGCAGATGTTCAGGGCCAAGAAAGAGATGGGCAGACGGGATGTGAACAAATAGAGGCTGACAAATCCCACACCTGGGGACCACCTCCTCCTATAAAACCCCACCACCAGAAAGCAAGCAGTCCCAAGGAAACCATCCATGCTCCCCACTTCCTTAGAATTAGCTCTAAGTCCCAGAACATTCTTTTCTCGGTTTCTCATGGCCCTGGGATGCTGACAACACTGGCCAGTCCCCTCCAGCTCCCCTCAATCCTACAGCCTGACAACTTCAATATCAAAAAACATTTATTAAGCATCTACTAGGTACCAGGCACTGGGGGTACAAAGGCAAAAATGAAACCATCCTGCTCTCACAGAGCTTACATTCCACTCGGGAAATCCCAGAGCTCCCCATTCCCTAGGAGAATAATTACTAATTCTGATGTGGTGCTTAAGGCTTACAAAGCCCTTTCTGTACTCTTGAGCCTCACAACAAGCTGGTGAGCTAGGTCACCACTGTATTATCATCCCCATTTTACAGATGAGATTTAGAGGAAGTTAAGTGACTCCCCCCACCCCAATTATACACCTAAGCATCAGCACCAGGATTTGAACTCCGGCCTGTCTTGACTGCAAGCCCAAGTATTCTTTGCACTATAACCCCTCTATGCAGCCCATCTGGGGTGCCATCCCTGTGGTGCCTCATACAGTTCAGAGCACCCTCCTCTACTTCTGCCTCACAGCTATACCTGGAGTCCTCATCACACCCCATCTGCTAAACATCTGTACATAATTATTCCTTCACCGGATCTATTCATTTACTAGTCACTCATACTTTGAGGACCACACAAGTCTGATTCGAGGAAGCTGGGTATATACCGATGGTGGGATTAGAGGTAGAACTCTTCAGGGGGAGGAGATACAACAATTAGACCTTGTCTTCTCTGGCCTTGAGAAAGTCTCCACAGTCAGCCTCTGAAGTCAGGCCCCCTGCTTTGGAGAGCGACAGCCCCTCTGACCCACTGCCATCAGGTGCCTTCTCTCTTTCTCTTGTACAAGAGGCAGCCAACCTCCGCCCAGGAGAGATTGCATCTTGGGCTGCATCACTAACTTGGTAATTTGATCAAAAAAAAAGCAATCCAGTTCATGTGGCAGGATTTGTTCCCGAAGAGTCCTCGCCAATACCAGCCTCCCCTGATGTTTACAGATTTTCTTCCCCTTGGGAGTCTCTTTGGCTGCCTGGTGGGCAAGGGGAGGCAAGCAACCATCCAGGCTGCTCATTTACTGCAGTGGGAGGGGGAAGATAATGTGTGGATAGGACAGCTCTACATTCACTGCCTTTCACTCCAACAAATCCACATCAAGCGGGACCTTTCCTCCCATTCACCAAATTAGGGGATGCTTGCTTTGTGCTACGTAAACTACATTTCTCCAGCAAATCTGGGAGTTAATGGGGCCCTCTCTCCCCCTCAAGGGACCAAAGGCCCCACCTGCCAGAACCTTCAGCTGCACCAGTCACCCTTGTGAGAACAACCATCACTTCTTCATTTCTTCTCCCATCCCAAAGGCCCCTGGGCCTCTCCTGCCTAGACAGAGGAGCTCTCTGAATCAGTTCCCCAGAAAGTCACTTCTATTCCAAGTTCCAATAATCACCTCCTACCATCACCAACTTCCACTCCACCATCCAAACGCATGAGGCCAGACACCCTGCTCTTTCAGGGGATAAAGATCAAGATTAATCGAGTAACAAGTATTAATCAGGGACCTACTATGTGCCTGGCACTGTGCTGGGATGTAAAGACAGAAGTGCAGGAATCCCTGCCTTCAAGGGGTTGTCATCCATACACACTCACCTCGGGCTGATAGCTTCTTGGTGTTAATGATTTTTGCTGCATACTCCTGAGTGGAGGTTTTCTTGACACACCTTCGGACCACAGAGAAAGCCCCCCTGGAAAGAGAGGAGAGCAAGAACTGGGACAAAGACTGGAGTAGAGTGACAAATACTTAGACCTGATCTCACAACAACATGAATGCTCTCCATGCTCAGATTCTACATCAGAATGACCCCCACCTATAACCACGGTGGTCCACTCCTGACAGTGACTCCCTAACCCTAGAATAGGTTGGCAGACTCTTCCTTGACCCCACCCACTCACCCAATGGCACTCCCACCCAAGCATTCATGACAAAAAGCAGGTAAGACTTAGACTTATGATTTAAAAAAAGATATTTCCCTCCACCGGGTCCCTTTATCTGACCCTGGGGCAAAGAAAGAACTCAGACTTCAGGCTCACAGGTGTGGGATTGGTGGGAAATGTTCCTAAGACACACCTGATGCATTCAGAGGTACCCTGCATTCCAGGGGAGGAGAAGTGAAGAGTGAGGGGCAAAGGTATCCTTTCCTACTCATAGGAGTCATAGTTGGGAACCACAGGAAATTTGGGAGGTAGAACTCCCTAAAGAAGACACCATCTCCGTCATCCATGGGAGAAATAAGGCTCTAGCATCAGGAGAGGAGACAGAGGCCCACCGACTGTCAGACCCTGAGGGTCCCACCACATCCCACAAAAAGGACAGCATCCCAGTTCTAGGCTAGCAGCAGGGAAAGGGAAGGAGAGCCCTCACAAGTGAGGCAGGGGCCCCAGCTGTCAAGGGCAGGGCTGCAAAGTCTCTCCCTTCCTTCTCCCTTTCCCCTCCCGGCCTCCACCCCCTCTCCACCCCCGAGAAAGCCCTCCAGCTTTCGATACCCAGTTCCCCTCGCCTGTGTGTGAACAGGATGGGGGGCAGGGCGGGGGCTGCAGTGGCCAGGTTGGGGGGGCGGGGAGGGGAGTCTGGGGCTGCAGCAGCAGCGGTGGCGGCGGCAGCGGCCGGCGGCTGCTCGGTGCCGTGCGGCGGGGAGGGGGATGCTGCGGCTGCGGCGCGCGGCTCCCGGGACCACTGCAGGGAGGTTGGGGGGGGGAAGAAGCGGGGGCTGCAGCAGCGCCCAGCAGCGGGGTCGAGATCCGGGAAGAGGCTGCACTAGCCCACAGACGGGGGCGGGGCGAGGTACCCGAGCAGCCCCCAGACCCGGGGCACCGGCTGTGGGTCGGGCCCCGGGGTCCGGGGCTCGGACAGGGTGTGACCAAGGTCGGAGAGCCTGCGGGGCCGGAGCGGGCCGGGGGCGTGGCTGGGGGAGCCCTGAGCGACCAGGGGGCTGCAGTCAGCCGGGGCTCGTCCGTCCAACCGGATGCAGCAGGAGGCTCCGGTCTGGCTGCAGGGGCCGGAGCTGGCTGGGGAGGGGCCGGGGGCGGGGGCGCCGGGCGGGGAAGGGGCGCCGCACCGGCCGGGCTGCAGCGGGGCCGGTGCAGGGCCGGGGGGCGGGGGAGGAGCCGCAGGAGTGACCGGGGACGGGGGGAGTCCGAGCCGTACTTGCCGAGCTCTTCGTAGAGCTGGTAGTCGTCGGTGAAGCGGGTGCAGGGGGCGGTGGTGGCCATGCTGGCGGGGCGGGCACGGCTGCGCTGCCCGCTCCGATCTCCGTGCACAGTCACCGCCGCCCGGCCGAGAGGGAGCAGGAGGAGGAGACGGGGCTGAGCCCAGCAGCACCGCGAGACTTTACCGGGGAGCGAGGCGGGGAGGGACACCCCCGCTGCCCGCCCCCAGCCCGGCCCGCCCGCCCCCGGGGAGGGGCTTCTCGCGGGCGTCCCGCCCCGCCCCGCCCCGCCCCGGCCGGGCAGCCGCCTGCCCAGCCGGGGCACGGGCGGACCGACGGCCCGGGCCGGGAAGTGTGGGGGACAGAGAGGGAAAGATGCAGGGAGTGGGGCTGTACTGACCCAGCAGCCGCCCCACAGTCAAGGTCCCGAGAAGCGGAAGGGAGGGTGACCCCAGTGTCCTTCTCAGGGGTCTGGGCTGCACCGAGGAGTCCGGCATGGAGGGGTGGGGGTGGAGACAGAGAGCTGACGGCCCATACCTCTATGACGGAGGCCCTCAGACAGGGCCCTAGATGGAGTGACTCCTAAACAGACCCCCCCAGGGGCCCCCAATCCCAGCCGCTCCGGGCAGATAGAGTGTCCCGTCTCTCTCCAAATCGGGCCCCTGCACCACCGGGGATGCAGAAGAAAGAAATCAGAAGACCTAGTACAGAATCCCAGCTCTGCCACTCAAGCAAGTCCGTTCTCTCTGGGCCTCGGTTTCTTCCTCCATCCAAGGAGGGGCTTCGACCAGATAACTTCCCAGGTTCCTTCCAGCTCTAAAAACCATGGTCCTATGTGGAAAGAGGGCTTCTGCAGCTGGAGTCAAAGAACCTGGGTTCTAATTCTGTCTCTGCTACTTCTTTACCTTCTCTTAACCCCCGCTTCCTAACCTGTAAAATGAGAAGATGGCTCTAGATAACTTTTAAGGTTCCCTTTAGCTCTAAGGCAATCCCACGATCTTCAGATAGCATAATGGATCAGAACTCAAGTTTAGGAACCTGCAGGAAACAGATCTAAGACAGCAAGCAGTTCTTGGCTCAAGGAGATGATACCAACTCAAAGCCAAGATTAGGATTGGCTAGGAGCACCCTAGAGTGGCAGAATGTTAGAGCCAGGAAGGGACCTTAGAGTTCATCTGGCCAAACCTTCCTCATTTTGAAGAGGAGGGAACTGAAGCCAGGAGAGACTGAATAATAACTTGCCTGAGGCAAGCCGGGGAGAGGGTTAAACTTTGAGTGCACAAGATCCGAGTTTGAAACCTGCCTCAGATGCTTACTAACTGTATGTCACCTAACCACAGTCGGAGTCAAGTTCTTCATTTGTAAAATGTGGATAACAATAGCACTTACATCACAGGGTTGTGAGGATCAAATGAGATTATGTAAAATGCTTTTTGACCCAGAAAGCACGTTGTCGTTATTGTTGTTATTACTAAGGCTACACATAGAGCAGGTGACAGAGCTGGATTTCAAACTCAGCCCCTCCTGACTCTAAGTCTCCAGAACCCATGTTTAATTCAAATTTGACCAGAGCCAAGTGAGGTAGCCAACCTCCGCTGGATAAGAAGAAACATCACCTAAACCTCAAAGATGGACGAATGACACCTCTCTAGTCAGCTTGATAGCCAGCCTCGGGGGGTGTATCTGGCCTAGAAGAGCAGGTAAAAGGGAAGGATTAACATTTCCATTCCCCTTTGGCCAAATCCCAGGCTATCTCCTCCTTCCAGCTTGTGAGAAACATACCAACTGCTTTGCTTTTCTTCCTTCCCGCAGGCCCCCCCAACCCCCAGGTGGGGGAGGTAAGCAGGGCACAGGGGCATAGCTGTCCCGGAGCAGGAACAGGCTGGGCAGGTTCCAAACCTGCCCAGACAGCTGCATGCTCACCTAGGCTTGGGGCCGGAGACAGCTGAGCAGGGCTGCAGTGTGCTCTCACTCTCACTGCGGCTGAACAGACTTGATTACACCAGGACACCCACTGGGACTTGGCTGAGCTGGGTTTCATCCAGTTATCAGGCTGGCTCCTCCAGGGAGCCAGTAGAGAGAATCCATCACCATAGCCTCATTTCCAGGTCTAGCCTGGGGAGGCTGGGAGAGGAAAAGGTGAACACCTTATATCACTGAATGGGGGGTGGGGGAGAAGACATTGCTGGACTGGGGGAGTTAAGAGATCTGGGTTCTAACCCTGACTCTCTGCTACCAAGGCACTGTAGAGATAGAGACTGGATCTCAGACTTCATTGGTATAGAGAGGAGATGCTCTCTACCAGTACAGTTGGCATCTGCAACCTGTTGTTTTGCAGATGCAATTGGGATCAAGTGACTTGCCCAGGGTCACACAGCTAGTAAGTGTCTGAGGCCCTATTTGACTTCGGGTCCTTCTGACTCCAGGGCCAGTGCTCTATCCACTGTGCCACCTAGCTGTCCTGCGACCTATAGTTTAAAGAGTCGCCCAGAACACTGAGAAGTTAAATGACTTGCCCAAGGCCACACAGTTTATAGGTATTAGAGAAGGGGGAACTGAACCCAGTTCTTCCTGACTCCAAGGCCAGCTTTCTATCTATTAGGCTTTCAAATGGAGGCCAAGCCAGATAGAATTAGAAACTATATATCTTCAGAGTCACAGTCCTAATCTGCTGCACCCCTGCCCCCACCCTCACTGTCTAAGCCTTAATTTCCTCTTTTGTAAAATGAGGGGACTAGATTCAGTGATTTCAAAGGATCCTGGGAGTGCTTTATCAGCCACAAACTGTCAGAGACCAACTAGTTTAGATGGTCCCAGGACTGGTGAGAAGGAGGTAGGATATAGAGACGAAAACCCTTCTCATCAGAAGGCAGGGTTTGGGTCAAAGCTGAGGGACAGTAAAACCACTCTCCACCCTTGCCTAAGGCAACCGGAAGTGCAGCTGTTGGGGAGCCCAGCCACTTCCTATCTTAAAACATCAGAGTAAGATCCTGGCCCCTTTATGGGGGGCAAATCCTAAAGGAGTTTGTGGGAGGGGAGAGAGACTGAAGCTTGAGGTGTTTTTTTTCAATTACTATGGGTGCATCCATTAGCTACATGGATGAGCCCAGCACTCCAGCTCAGCTCAACTCAGAGTATGTTCATTCAGGGGAATAGTCGTAGTTTTGTGATAAATTATAGTTAGAAAGTATTTTACCTATATGATCTCATCTGATCTTCACAACAGCCTTGGAAGGGGATCAGTTCCAGGATTATGATCCAAGTTTTATAGATGAGGAAACTGAGGCTCAGAGTGGATATATGACTTAATCAAATACTGGTGGAACCCAAGCTTGAAATGAGGTCTTCTGACTCCAACCGAAGTGCTCTTTCCACTGTACCATACACGAGTGTCGCCACTAAGCAATCCACCATCAATTGCCATCAATTTTTAATTCTAGATTAAAATGCCTTAGTCCCTGTCCCCTAGGAGCTGATCCGGAAAATTTTACATCTATTAACATGAAGAGAAGAAGAAAGAGATGCAGGTGTGAGGAGATTCAGATGGGAACTGATAAAGCATCTTCAGTATCAAAGCAGTGAAATAGGGGAAAACCTTGGAGGAGGCAGGAGAAAAGCTTTCCATTGCTAGACTGAGTCCTACCCACCTCCCAAGTGGCTCAGCCCAGACTCAAATCTAGAGATACTGATTCGAGGTCCAGTGTTTTCTCCATTCTGTCGCTATGAAGGGTGTAGAAAGATGAAGGAGAGAAGAAAATGAAGAGCTCAACTCAATATTTATTTATAGCAAGAGCTAAGAGCCAAAAGCTGTGTGCTAGGTCCTAGGGAGATGAGGACAAATGTGCCTGCCACTGCCCTCAGGGAGCTTATATAGTACTAGGGAAATATGAATACACAAGGAAATATGTAAGATATGTGCATGTTAATTTCAAGAAGAGCTCACTAAATACTGGTTGGGAAAGGGCTTGGTGTAGGAGGTAACCTCAGGGCTGAGCCTTGAAGGACGCTAGGAAGTCTAAGAGGTTGAAAAAGGTGTGTGCTGGTAAATGTTTAACAACTGGTTTTGGGAGGGTCGGGGTGGGGGGTGTAAGCCTGACACATTTTAAAATTTAATCTGCATTATTAATATTTTCCTCATCATTTTCTTAAATCTAGATGATCAACATTAAGAATAAATCACTCCTAGATTTATATCATTTGCTGATTTCCAAGACGTAAGTGCTCAAGCTGAAAATTTAACATTGGCTGTGTTAGAGCTGGCACCAGTACACCCCTGGGTTGAGGTTAGGGGAGAATGTATTCCATGCTGTGAGGGTACTGCGCGTGCAAAAGGGTCAGCTAGGTGGCATAGTGAATAGAACACCAGGCCTGGAGTCATGAAAAACCTGAGTTCAAATCTGGCCTCAGACATTTATTAGCTATGTGACCCTGGGCAAGGCACTTAACTGTATTTGTCTCAGTTTCCCTTTCTGTAAAATGAGCTGGAGAAGGAAATGGTAAACCATTCCAGTATCTCTGCCAAGAAAACCCTAAATAGGGTCACAAAGAGTTGGATACCATCGAACAACGACAATACTTGTGCAAAAGCGTGAAGAGGAAGATGTGATATTGAGTACATGAGCAGCTAGTAGACCATTTTGGCAGGAATGTTAAGGGTGTGAAAGAGAGTAATAGTAAATGAAGTGGGAGCCTGACTGTGGAGAGCTAGGCTGAGAAATTTCTGTTTTGTCCTAAAGGCAATAGGGAGCCACCAGAGATGTTTGAGCAGGGGGTTGACAGATTCAGACCTGTGTTTTAGGAATTCCAGTTTGGCAAGTGAATGGAGAATAGATTGGAGAGAGGAAAAATGGGAAGCTGGAGAGCTGTGGGTAAAGCAATTTTTGGAGATTATGCTGAGTTGACAATAAGGCATTTGCCAATAAGTGCAGCTTTTATTACTTAAACAAAAACAATTTTCCAAATGGGGTATGAGGAGTAGAGGGAGATATGAGTGGGAATAAGTAAACTGAATTCATTCTCTTCTTTTTTTTCTTTCCTCATTCATTCATTTAACACCTAACAAAGGGATACAGTGGATTGAAAAGGCTTTTCTCTCCTCTTAAGCACCCTCCAATAACTCAGACACTGAAGTGGTCTCAGTGGCAAATAGAATCCATCAACCCCACCATCCCAGTATTTTAGCCCT